ATGACGGACCTATACCAAAGAGCATACTATATAGCTTGTTAAAATAAAATAATGTTGTTGGGTTTACTGATTACCACATAAGGACACATTGCAAAAATAAATTTGGATAGGCAATATTGTGAAATTAATTTTTATATAGCTGAAAATTGTTTTATATAAACATATATTGTAAAATAATAGATAAGGTAAAATTGTAAAATTAATTTAGGATGGTATACCTTTATGGGTGGTACGCCTGGATGGTTTACCTGTATGGGATACCTATAGGTAAGCTCGCATTAGTTTCTAGTTTTAATCTTCCTCTTTGAAGATGATCACTTGGTGATCGAAACACGTGTCGAGGTGTTAAAAATAACGATTTGGTGTTGGAAAAAACTCCAGTAATATTCATTACTACATCAAAGGTTCCAAACAGTGCATCATAAGTACATTAATTATATATTCAACAAAAGTCATTTTTTGTGGAGGAAAAATCAGTTTTTTATCGATCTTTTTTAGGTATTTGTTACCTTCCACAATTATATGTTCGATGTCTGTTCAAAAAACATGGTGAATTTTCATTCTCAAAACAAAAAAAATTTGGTAATTTCTATTTTCACTGCCACAAGCTTCATGCTCAAAATTTCCAAAAAAAAATTGCATGGTATGAGCCAACCGATATGCCGACATCCTCAACAACTTCCCTAACAGTTATTTGACGATTCTCCACAACAATATTCTTCACTTTCTCAACATTTTCATCGGTTGTTGATGTGCTGAGGCCTTCAGGGTGAGCGTCGTCATTCACAACCTTTTGTGAACAGCTTGTACATCTTGTAAACATTTCTCTGGCTCAGAGTACAATCACCGTATGCCACTGTCAATATTTCAAGTGTAAGTCCGAGGTGTACCGAGTTGAACTTCAAAACGATGAGCAGCCACAGTCCGTCGCGTATTTCTGATATGTACCGCTCTTGATGGAATCAAATGTGTTGTGCCAAGACATATTGGTGTTCATTTCAACCCCCAACAAACTTATCGAAGCAGAAAGCGGAATTGCCTGTTCTGATATTATTATAACCGGTTCGGAGACATGTATCTTTCTGGAGAAAACCGATGCCTGGGTTTTCGTGGCATTGGCTACGTTCACTCTAATTCGAAATCACTTCTAGATCCTCAATAAGATATGGAACATCCTGCTGCCGCTGAAGATGACGATACAAGTGTGCTGTGGTCAGCAAAGCAATATATTGGATTTTTGGTTTTTTCCAATAAGTTGTTGATATACAATGAAATGAGCGTTGGAGACAATATGGCTCCCTGGGGAACACCGTTGTTCGAGAGATATCCATCGATGGCTACTTCCAGGGCTGAAACTATGAACATATGTTCAAGATGAGAGTACCAACATAACCCTATTTTTGGACAGACATCGTATGCGTGTTTATGATAATCTTGAAATATGAACTATACTTTGCTCGTCCTATATTTATAATAAGAATATAGTGTATAACTGTGTTTTCCTAGGAATGTAATGATTTTCAATCAAAAATTTTACGTTTCTGCAAAAATTTAATGCTCCAATAGACAAAAAATATATTTTTTCTAAAAACACTTCATTAAACTGAAGAATATTGGAAATGAAGACTTGAGTACAATATCATAGGTATGTTATCATTTGCCTCTTTTTCAGTGCCTCTTTTTTCAGCAATATGATCCATCTATATGCAATGTAGGTACTTGATTTTTTGAAGAAATGAAAGATGTCGGATTATATTGATGAAGTCAGTTTCACCTGAATTTTTTCGTTCATCTGATCCAATACATATCATTTATTTTATTCTCCCTATCACAAATTAGAGTAAATATTCAGAAAATCTGGGCGACTTAGGGTCGACTAAATAAGTAGCTCATTTGTTGGTTTTAAGTAATAAATAAGGTCACACTTCTAAGAAATTGTATGTACTCTGAAAAACTCAAACGGCCGAATGAAGAAAATATTAGTATTGGAATAATCATGGAATATTTTGTACAATTGTAACTACAGTAGAACCCCAATTAGCTGAATTGTTAATTGAAGAGGTCAGTTTTGGAAATAAATTATTTTTCTGTTAGTTTTTTCAGATGAAATTACATTGGAAGCAATGTATATGATTATCCGGACTAGATGAAAACCAGAGCCCAAACACAGTGCTGTTTCGAACTGTCATAGGTCTTGTCAATGGTGCCAGGCTGAACATTGCTGAGCTCAACTGCCTTTAAAGAAAAGCTTGAATAAATTAGAGCGATGACATCTCCCGACAAGACGCCATCTATGGGATCGACAGAGAACTCAATTCTCTGATATCAAAGATGAATGAGACTCCCCAAGGCGGTCAGTTGCAAAGCCAAGCTTCGACATTGTCCTCTGTCTTTCACCGCGAGTTGAGAAACAGAGCCCAAGCACAACACATTTGCAACTGACTGGATTGGGGAGCCCCATTTTTTTCTTTCAGAAACATGCTTCGTTTTTTTGGTGGTCGTCTCCTCGGATACCTTCTGATTTTCAGCTCACGCTGAAAGCCCGGCCTGGTTACCGGCGTGAGGGGGCCTCACTTCACATTTTGATCAAAACTGTCACATTTTTTTTAAGGACAAAACACAAGTACTACAGGAAAATCCTTAAGGCGCGCTCAGAGCGGTGCCTTTGCGAAAATAGGTATTCACATTGGATTTGAATCGCTGGGGATTAAATCCATTTGGAAAATGGACAATCATAACACAGAAATGAACCCGGCTCTGGCACTTGGTACCGCATACCAAAGCCACCACGGAACTCTTTGGGAGTCTCGTCTAGGGAAATGTCACCGCCCTTATTCAATCCGGACCAGAGTTGGTCCCAATTGATTAGGATAATTGGGGTTCTACAATAGTAGCATTAGAAGTCGAAATCAATTTTTAAACATTTTTTCACCCCACTAGTTATATTGTTGTAACCCATAAAAGAAACTCAAGTGAAACTGACCTAGTAGCACTGGATATTGCGAATATATTTTTGAGAATGATGATTTGTGAGAATGTGTGAGTGACGCGTAGAGCGTACCCATTATTCACCACAGTTTTGACGTATGACGATGGCCAAGGTGAGGACGAAGAGGGCAGCCTTCCACATCTTGGTGGATATGGAAGTAAATTGCCTCCTGGGATTCTACCACATGGTTTACCACAAGTTAAGGAAGTTCAGCCGGCCGTCACCGCTCTGGAACAAGAACAAAGGAAAGAAGAAGTCAAGGAAAGTAAGAATCACTATATATTTTCTATACTTTGATATGCCTACCCTTCATTAGTTTTAGTTTTGAAAGTAAACCGTTTGCTTTCACACATTTTTCTTGAATTAAATGCAAACCAATCGTNGTATGTCAATCAAATTTCAATTTTTTTTTTGTTGGAAAACTATAATTTTGTATTAGTATGATCGATGATAATTTGTTCGACGGCCGATTTATTTTTATGCAGTTGATTTGTACTTACAGTGTGTTAATATTTGATTATGATCAGTTAGGGAACTGAGTGAAGATGAAAAGCAAATCGTGATACTTTCTGAAGACTTTCAACATTTTATGGATAGAGCTGGTAGAATAATGGAGAGAGCCTTGTGTGAAAGTGTGGACATCTATAAGGATTATACTGGAATGTTGGGAGAAGAAGGACTGTGAGTATGCAGATACATATATATTTTTTGCATAAACCAATAAACATATACTAACAAAGTATTGAAAGGGTGGGGTGAAAATGATACTTCACAATTTACACAACACTAACATTTTCTGCTGACACACCGTGTCATCTTTTGAGCGAATTATAAACTAAACTAAGTATATGATGTCATCTCCTCAAATACTAAAAGTTGCATTGGTAGGTAGAGAAAGGTATCAAGGGGCATTTGGGAAATTACTATTAACATTATTAATGATTGGAGAATTGTAAATATCTATCTGATCATACAGAACAATGTTGTTTTTATCAGCAAGATGTTTTTATTTCTATAGATTCCAATATTTTTAATTTCATACTTTTTGGTTGAATGTGTAGAATTTCGAAATTTTCTGTGAAAGTCTGAGTGTTTTCTATGAGATGATTGCCGTAGTTGGTATCTTGTTTATTCAGTCTGTAACTTCCCAAATGCTCCTCTAATCTCTGGTTATAACTGCGGGCAGTATGATCTATATAAGGCATTGCACTTGTCGCATTTGACGATGCAAATTTTTTTAACTTGTCCTGTGTTGACTTAGAATTATTCATAAATGAATGCAAATTGTTGTTAGACAGACATGTTAGACACGCAAAACGTGTCTAATGTATGAGGGTAAATTAGAATAAATTTGAAGTTTTGCTGTTTTTTTTTTTAGTATTTTGTTAATGATGGAGGTTTTATATCCATTATTGACAGCGATCTGTTTTATTTTGTTCAATTCTTTTTGGAAATTTTACTAGTTTTGAACGATATTTATATGTCTCTGTATCATGGAGTGGTATACTGCAAGTTTATGAAAGTACAGGTGAATAAATAGATTGCGACTTGTAAGATATTAGCATTAAATGTTAGTGTTGTCTAAATTGTGAAGTTTTTTTTTTTTTTCACCCTACCGATTCAATTGAAATGCATTTACACATATTAGAAGCCGAACCTGTAGAAAGATAAAAAGTGTTTTCAACTTCAAAATAAAAAGTTGAAATCAAACCAACAAAGAGAATTTTCAAAAACTAAACACATCTACATGCCATTTCAATTATGAACGCTAGAAGTCTTAAAAGGTTAAATCTAAATTTTATGAATAAACAAGAACTTCGCCCAGACACCAGAAATTCAATGCTCTTCTTGACGCACGTTTCACCACCCAAGTTGGCATCTTCAGGTAATGAAGACGAGCGTCGAGAAAAGTATTGCATTTCTGGTGATTGAAAAACGTGGTTGTTTTTGAAGTTTCACTCCGACATGAATATTTTTGAAATAAATGATGTCGAATATAAACTTGTATGAATAGGAAGTAGTTTTAGGAGAGATTAATTTTTGAGAAAAAAACCTTTGTGGCTTTCAATCTCTAAGAATTGGAAGATTACAAAATAAACGAAGAAAAAGTCAACAGTCTTTAAAGAAATCTTTAAAAAGAAAACATTCT